GAAGACCTCTCAGGTCCCTTCCAACTCTGTTATTCTGCATGCTATTTTTTTTTTCTCTTGGAAAAAAAATTAAGCAAAGGTCTGATGTCTGTTGTTAAATCAAATTGCTTTTCAACCTTCTTTGAGTTGGTGGTAGCAAATTTTCCCAGCGTGACGTTTTGCTGTCCCCGTTGTCCTCCCGTTGCCTGTCTTGGTTGGCAGCACTTTGGTGTGGAGTGGATCTGACACAGTTTGAGGCTACCCACAAATGGTGTCAAATGAACAGAGGGGAAAAAAAAGGTACCTTGACAGTCACATTCGTAAGGTTAATGTATTTCTTGTTGTTAAGTTGGGGGAAGATGCAAAGGCAGGAAAAAAAATGGTGGTTGCCGGAAGATATTTAGGTCATATTTAGACAGTGTTGGGATTCGATTTTTTTTTTTTTTACTACTGGTTCTGTGGGCGTGGCATGGCTTGGTGGGCGTGGCAGGGGAAGGTTACTGTAAAATCCCCCTTCCCTCCCCACTCCACTAACCTGCTTTCCAGCTCCGTTCTCCTGGGCAGGGCAACCAAAGAAGACCCAGCCAATCAGCTGGGACTCAATGGGAGGCGGAGAATAGATGGGGGCGGGGCCAGTCAGAGGTGGGATTTGCCGGTTCTCCGAACTACTCAACATTTCCGCTACTGGTTCTCCAGAACTGGTCAGAACCGGCTGAATACCCACCTCTGGATTTAGATAAAGATGGAGGAAGGTTCCAAATATACTTGTTTCGCAAGTACTGGACTTCCTTTGTTTTTTACCTGAAAACCTTTCGCTTCCCATCTGAGAAGCTTCAGTTTAGTTCAGTTTAGATTCTGGATCAATAGTAGGAACGTCTAATGGTATAAATGGGAAATATTTTTCATCTGAGAATTATTAAGGGCTGAGTAGACGCTTTTCTGGCATGGATTAATTTTAATAAGTAAAATTTGTCTGGCCATGGCTGTTTGTCACTTTAGATCTAACATAGATCTTTTTCAGCTGGTATTTTTTATTTTACAAAGGAAATAGTAATAGATGCGTGATATACTGTTGTTTAAAGATATGGAAAAAAGAAAACAATGGGTAGGAACTGAGCTTTTTAATGCTTAAACAGCATGCACCTGGATAAAATGCCTATAACTTAACTTAAATAACCTTTAAAGATTTATCTAAATTAACAGAGAACATTGAAAGACCCCATTGTCTTCCTTTCTACCTACACGTCGAATTAAAAATAATCCAGTTTCTGGATTCCTTAGCTGTACAGGTAGTCCTCGACTAATGACCACAATTGGGCCCCAAATTTTCTGTTGCTAAGGGAGACATTTCTGAAGTGAGTTTTGTCCCATTTTACGACCTTCCTTGCCACAAGTTAGTAAGTGAATCATGGCAGTTAAGTTAGTCCCGCAGTTGTGAAACGAATCTCGCTTCCTTATTGACTTTGCTTGTCAGAAGGTCACAAAAGGGGATCACATGACCCCCCAGGGGGGACGACACTGCAACCGTCATAAATATGAATCAGTTGCCAAGCGCCTGGATTTTGATCGCATGACCATGGGGATGAGGCATGTCATAAGTGTGAAAATGGTCATAAGTCACTTTTCCCAGGGCCGTTGTAACATCAATCATCATCATCTTCTTCTTTTAACAACCCCATAATCCCTTGGGGGTTGGAGTCTGGGAAACTGAATGGAGCTAGCAGAGTGTTTTAATGGCCGGATGCCGTTCCTGACGCCAGTGCGGAGTTTTGTTGCCAAACGTCTGGATTTTGATCACATGACCATGGGGATGCTACGAGAAATATGATCGTAAGCCATTTTTTTTCAGTGCTGTGGTCACTGAACGAACTGTTGTAGGTCAAGGACTGCCTGTATACTGGCCCATAAGTTAAACCAACAAACTTAGTTTGTGTGGCACAGTTAAATCACAGGTGTGCAAGCAAGGTAAACACAAACTTCTTGTGAAATTGCATCTGCTTCAATCAGAGGTGGTATTCAGTAGGTTCTGACCAGTTCTGGAGAACCACTAGCGGAAATTTTGAGTAGTTTGGAGAACCGGTGGCAGAAATTTTGAGTAGTTTGAAGAACCGGTAGCAGAAATTTTGAGTAGTTTGGAGAAACGGTAGCGGAAATTTTAAGTAGTTCGGAGAACCAGCAAATCCCACCTCTGACTGGCCCCGTCCCCCATTTCTTCTCTGCCTCCTGAGTTCCAGCTGATCGGCCAGGTCTTCTTTGGTTGCCCTGCAGAGGAGAACAGAGCTGGAAAGCAGGTTAGTGGGGTGGGGAGGAAATGGAGATTTTACAGTAACCTTCCCCTGACATGCCCACCAAGCTGCATGATTTTACTTTGTAGAAAGAAGATCCCATCTCCACCATATATTGTCATTTAAATTTTTGCTGCTTTTGATCAATTCAGGGAATTTAGGTTGACTAATTTTCAGCCTTAACCCACTGGTGTGCACATGACTAGTTCATTTTAACGGGTTATGCCGAATGGCTCAATTTTTGCTCAACGTTTCTAAGTCTCTTACTTCTGTGTGAACAGTTCAGTGGAAAGTACAAAAAATATGTCAATAAAGCTTTCTATGAAGGGATTCTCTTGTTGAACTTGGATGAGATGAGCCTTTGAGTAAAGCACTATTGTTAGATTTACACTGTCTTCACAAAATCAAAAGGTTTTAATCATTTGCGGAGCTGCAGCATTTAATTGGTTGGATTAATTAATTCAAAGAATCCCTCAATTGATGAAATACTGTTTCTTAATAATGAAACAGCAGGTCTTCTTTGTTTGGCTGCATAATTTATACTTATAAATTGTTGTTAATTATTTTTACTGCCAAGACCGGAGGTTTCAGGGTTTCAGACTGGAAGAAGGTTAAATTATTTGAAGGTTGGAGCAGAGGTGACACTTCAAAAAGCAAAGCACGGATCACATGGTGAAACAAACTGAAAATTAAGTTGATCCCTGGTTGATGCAAGTTCCTTTGGAAAGTTGGTGGGTTTATTGATTCTGAGATCTGGACTTTCTGGTTTTTCTTTGGAGATGTTTCACTTCTCATCCAAGAAGCTTCTTCAGCTTCTGGGGGAATGGAAGGATTATCCTGTCAGAGCTGAAGAAGCTTCTTGGATGAGAAGTGAAACGTCTTCAAAGAAAAACCAAAAAGTCCAGTTGCCTCTTGAAAAAAAAACAAAACACCTTTGAGACAACCAGAACCTGAAGGACTGAGAATCTCCATAAACATTGATTCTGAGAATGATCCAATCTTAATCTGAGCCAGTGCTCCATTTATTGGTAAGTATATACAGGGTTAACCTGATGAATGATATAATTGATTGAGGGTTCAACTCCTATGCACCATCTTTTCTGAGCCATTGAAGCCAATAGGACAAATTTCCGAGTAGCTTTGTACTGAGGTGAAGTCAACTTCAGCATTTCTCAATACTGTTACATTTCTAGGCACGCTTACCTGGAAACAATTTTTTACCTGTTCAAGAAAGAGAGAGAGGGGGTACCTAGAACTAAAGAGACATTTCCTGAGGGTGAAAACAATTAATCAGTGGAACGACTTGCCACCAGAAGTTGTGGATGCTCCAATATTGGAGGGTTTTTCAGAAGAGGTTGGGTAACCATTTGTCTGAAGTGGGGTAGGGTTTCCTGCTGGAGCCTGGGGTTGGACTAGGAGACCTCTAAGGTCCCTTCCAATTCTATTTTATTCTGTCCATCAAGGAGTGATTCCCACCTAGAATTAAAGGGAAATTTCCTGACACTGATTCAAACAGCCAGTGGAACTGTTTGCCTCCAGAAGTTGTGGATGTTCCATCACTGGAGGTTTTTAAGAAGAGATTGGACAACCACTTGTCTGAAATCGTATAGGGTCTCCTACTTGAGCAGGGGTTGGACTAGAAGACCTCCAAGGTCCCTTCCGACTGTCTTCTTCTGTATGTTCTACATCAGGGGTCTTCAAACTTGACAGCTTTAAGACTTGTGGACTTCAACTCCCAGAATTCCTCCTCCAGTCATGTTAACTCAGGAATTCTGGGAGTTGGAAGTCCACAAGTTCTTCGACTTGCCAAGTTTGAAGACCCTTGTTCTACGTGGTGTCCTGATCTGAATGCAAGAGGGAAAATGTGTTTCACTGTGTTTCAATACCCCGTTGCGCACAAATTATCCAGAAATATTGATGATCTCTTGGGATTCCCCTTGCAATTGGAATGTCTGCATAGCTCTTGTTTTTCCTTATCCCTATCGTTAATTTATGGTTTTAATTGTGCATTTGGGCAGAAGGCAGTCATTTAATTTCATTTTTGCCTTTTTTTTCTCCTCCCTCGTGGTTGGGAACTACCGAGGATCCCTAGATGCAGGCAGAGATGGGATTCAAATAATTGAACAACCGGTTCACCAAACTGCTCAAAAAGTTAACAACTTGTTCTAATGAACCGGTGCAAACCAGCTGAATCCCACCACTGGATGTAGGGGTATTTCAGGTAGCCCTTGACTTAAAAACTTCCGTGTAGCGACTGTTCAGGTGTACTCCCTCCCTTTACAAAGCGATTTATGACCATTTTTTCACACTTATGACCCTTGCAGAATCCCCCTAGTTACAAACATTTAGATGCTTGGCAACCGACTTGTATTTATGATGCTGGCAGCGTCCCAGGAGGGTCATGTGATCCCCCTTTTGCGAACTTCTGACAAGCAAAATCAGTAGGGAACCCAGATTTGCTTAACCGACACGTGACTTGCTTAGCAACTGCGCTGATTCACTTAACGACGATAGCAGGAAAGGTGGCGACACGGGACAGAACTCATTGAACGCCTGTCTCGCTTAGCAAGGGAAATTACTTGGGGCTCCGGTCGTGGCCGTAAAGTCGAGGACTACCTGTAGAAATGTAATAAACCACATCTCTGCAGCGGAGAAACCCTGACCCACCCGACGTGTCCCCCTCTTCCTTCCTTTGCTGCCCCTCCCTCAATGATTTGTGTCCCCTTTTGTTTTCAGAAGGCAGGGAGTGTGTAAACTGTGGAGCTACCTCAACCCCACTTTGGAGGCGAGATGGCACAGGGCATTACCTCTGTAACGCCTGTGGATTGTACCACAAAATGAATGGGCAAAATCGGCCGCTGATAAAGCCCAAAAGAAGACTGGTAAGTGAATCTCAGATTTCAAAAAAATGCACTAACTTCTTTTTCTCCTCTCTCTCTCTTTTCTTTCTTTCTTTCTCTTTCCTTTTTTTCTTTCCTCCCGCTCCTCTTCCATATCCTCCCTACCTTCATCCTTCCATCCATCCCTTCTCTACCATCACGTCCTCTTCCCTCCCCCTTCCCTTCCACCTCCTCCTCCCTACCTCCGTCCATCCGTCCCTTCACTTCTACCTCCTCCCTCCCTCCCTTTCTTTCTACTTCTTCCTCCATACCTCCATCCATCCATCCATCCATCCATCCATCCATCCATCCATCCCTTCTCTTCTACCTCCTCTCTCCCTTCGCTTCTACCTCCTCCTCCCTACCTCCATCCATCCATCCATCCATCCATCCATCCCTTCTCTTCTACCTCCTCCCTCCCTCCCTTCCCTTCTACCTCCTCCTCCATCCATCCATCCATCCATCCATCCATCCATCCATCCTTCCCTTCTCTTCTACCTCCTCCTCCCTCCCTCTCTCCTCCTCCACCTCTTCCTCCTCCTCCTCCTCTTCCTTCTTTCCTCAGCCCAAGATGGAGAACTTTCTGGAGGGACTAGAACTGGGCCAATCCGCCCAAAGTCTTATTTGTCTGTACAGAAGAGAGTTTTTGAGGGGCCCCGCTCCCCATTTTTCACCATGAGTGCCAAGTTATGTACCATTTCTGTCTCTCTCTATATGTCTCTTTATTTTTTTAAAAAACAAATTCTGGAGCTTTTGCTTTGAAATGAAAAATAGGGTCAGGATGATCCTAAACGGTTTGTCTTTGAGGGTGATGGTGGTTGAAGATGGAGAAGATGCGGGAAAGAGATGGGAAAGAGAGGATTGATTCGGGGGAAAGGAAGTGGTGAGACACAATGCCTTGATCCTCATTGTTTGCAAAAATTAAAAAGGTCCCGAAAGCTTAAAGATGGTGGACAGCCTTATCTTCTGAGGCGGGTTTGTTAAGAGTACCGAAAGGTTCCAGAAGCTGAAAAGAATAGGATGTTTTTACCTCAACTTCCTCTGTAAATAAAATGAGTGAGAGACTCAACAGTGAAAGACTGCAGTTCATTTAGTGACCATTCGAAGTTACAACGGCACTGATAAAAGTGAGTCATGACCATTTTTTTTCCACACTTATGACCGTTGTAGCATCCCCTTGGTCACATGATCAAAATTCGAACTCTTGGCAGTTCGATTGTTTCCTTTTCAGACGTCTCATGACCCGACTAGGTAACAGCATCAGTGCTAGAAAGGAGTGGAGTTTACAAGGAGGAGAAGAGGAGGAAGAAGAAGAGGGGAAGGATGGGGAGGAGAACTGCAGGGTTCTGGGTGCTCTTTGAAATTATTTGTTTCCTTTTCAGACGTTTCATGACCCAGCTAGGTAACACCATCAGTGCTAGAAGGGGAGTGGTGTTTGTTCTCTTTTTATCCATTCGCGGATATAGGCTGTGGATTGTCAATTCCACAGCAGGGCAAGGCCCTAACCAGATTCTGGTTGTGGAGAGAGAAATGGAGGCACTATGCTTATGGGCACACAGATAGCGAGATCCTATCCTAATCCTGGATTTGAGCCATTCTCACGCTTAACTGTGTTTGATTGTTAGGATGCCAGGTGACCGGATAAGGAGAAGCACATTCTTCCTCCCCTCTCATTAGGATGTTGTTTTCCCCTAGTCTTTTGCAGCCCACCTGGGTTTTTTTTTTTCAGGACATTTTTGGGTTATTTCCCCTCACAACCCATCCCCTCTTTGAGGATTAAAAAAAAAAAAACGCTTCCCCCAAACCAAACAACACGAAGTGGGATTATAAACGGGTCCAAGGAAAGAGAAGGAGACAGCCCCTTCCTCTTCGCCAGTGCCCGACCCACGACTGCGTCCTTTCTGAAGCTGCTTCTCATTAGGGAAAATAAAAAGTTGGAGGGAACTTCCATATGCCTGCGTGTACCGTGTCGTTTGGCCCTAAGGAAATAGGACATTGTTTTCGTTTTGTTACATCTGTTTCTCTAAAGGTTTTGGAAGACGTACAAGGCTGTTTGGATAAATCGGCTGGTGCTTTGGATTGTAAATGGGGGAGAGGAGGGAGCGGAGGAACATTTTGCAGGGACTGGTAGAGAGGATAACGCTGAACCTTTAAGTCGAAATCCTGCCTCTTCCCTTCCCTTCCTTTTCTTAATATAGGTAAAGGTAAAAGTTCCCCTCACACATACATGCTAGTTTTGCTACTCGTTTCTGGCTGTAGTGGGGCAGCACTTATCTCCGTTACAAAGCTGAAGAGCCAGCGCTGTCCAAAGACGTCTCCGTGGTCATGTGGCCGGCAGAACTAAATGCCGAAGGCTCACGGAACGCTGTTCCCTTCCCACCAAAGGGGTCCCTATTTTTCTACTTGCATTTTTTACACGCTTTCGAACTTCTAGGTTGGTAGAAGCTGGGAGAAGGAACAGGAGCTCGCTCCATTACACGGTGCTGGGGATTTGAACTGCCGAACTGCTGACTTTTCTGATCGACAAGGTCAGCGTCTTAGCCACTGAGCCACCATGTCTCCTTTTCTTAATATATAAACCCTTTTTCAGTGAGGGAGGGCTGTCCCATACAGGTGTTCCTTGATGTACGACCACAAAAGAGCTCAACATTTCTGTTGCAAAGCGAGAGAGTGGTTGAGTGAGTTTTGCCCCAACTTTCTTGCCATAGTTGTTAAACGAACCACTGCAGTTGTTAAGTGAATCTGGCTTGGCCCAATGACTTTGCTTGCCACGACAGTCGGGTCTTCATTCGACCAACCTGGGAAGGATGAAAGGGTGGAGTCAGACCAGAATAGAAGCTAAACAAAACAGAATAACAGAGTTGGAAGGGACCTTGGAGGTCTTCTAGTCCAACCCCTTGCCCAAGCAAGTAACACTACACCATTTCAGACAAATGGTTTTCCAGTTTCTTCTTGAAAGCCTCCAGCGATGGAGTATTCACAACTTCTGGTGGCAAGCAGTTCCACTGGTTAATTGTTTTCACTCTTAGGAAATTTCTCCTTAGTTCTGGGTTGCTTCTCTCCTTGATTAGTTTCCACCCATTGTTTCTTGTCCTGCCTTCAGGTACTTTGGAGAATAGCTTGACTTCCTCTTCTTTGGGACAGCCCCCCAGTTGCTGGAACACTGCTATCATGTCTTCCCTGGTCCTTCTTTTCACTAGACTAGACATAACCCATTCCTACAACCATTCTTCATTTTTGTCCTCCAGGTTCCTTGGAGAATAAGTGGACTCCCTTCTTCTTTGTGGCAGCCCCTTATATATTAGATATTGATAAGAGTTAACCTTGGGCCCTGTCAGGATCAAAGGGGAAGGGCTTTGATCGTCAAAAGTTGTTAGATTTCTTAGATTATTTTACTTTATGATTGATCCAGAGATACACACGCAATCACACAGACATTAGTTAGATATGAAAATTCTTCCGTTTGAATATAGTATAATGAACAGCTTTCTTCCTTTCCCCACACCAGCTGCTAGAATAAATTTGCATCCAATGCTGGGAAAGAATACTTCGGTATGTGTCAGTTCCTGGTTGTAGTGTCCTAGATGTGGTTTCCAACATATGACAATCATGGCGAGGCCACCAAGTGTATTGCTGATCATCCATAACTCAAGATTCACTGAAACTACAACTCCCATATTTTCTTCTGTTAAGTGGTAGTTCTAACTCCTCTGGGAGAATCGGTAGTTGGGGACGAACCATGAGCAGAGGGGTTTGGCTAGAAGACCTCCAAGGTCCCTTCCCTTTCTATTATGAATTTGAATTTGAAAAAAACGTTAGAGTTATCCTTAAGTCTTCCTTGGCACAAATATACAGTACATCGGACCTGAGAACCTTTGCTGTTGGATGATGATCCGGTGGCGCCCACAGAACTCCTGCTAAATTTCCAAAATAAATAAGAAAGCCCCTGGATTCCTTGAGAATTAAAACCTTCCCTCCTCCATCCAGCGGCTATAACGGTTTTAAAATTCTTCCTTCGATGAATCTAGCCCTTAGACTTATATACTGCTTCACAGTGCTTCACAGCCCTCTCTAAGTGGTTTACAGAGTCAGGATGTTGCCACCAACAATCTGGGTCCTCCTTTTACCCACTTTGGAAGGACGGAAGGCTGAGTCTACCTTGAGCCTGGTGAGAATTGAATTGCTGAACTTCTGGCAATCAGCAGTCAGCAGAAGTAGCCTGCAATACTGCATTCTAACTACTGTGCCAACACAGTCCCTTCCTTCCTTCCTTCCTTCTCTCCCTACTCCCTTCCCTCACTGTATTCCCATTCCTTCCTCTTTTCCTCCTTTCCTTCCTTCCTTCCTTCCCTCCCTGTATTCCCTTTCCTTCCTCTTTTCCTCCCT